CTGCCCGAAGCTTGCCCGCGGCCCGGGGTAGGCCCGGCCCGTTGACAATGTGAATATTCACATTAACATGTTAACATGCACATTGATAGGAATGTAGAATTGCCCGCGGCCCGTGGGTTACCCGAAGCCTGCCCATGGCCCGGGGCAAGCTCGTTTGGGTTCGTGCCCGAGCCGGTGGGTTGAGCCTCGGGTCGGGCCGATGGGCCTGGGCCTAGCCTCAAGCTTGGGTCGGGCTTGGGCGGGCCTGGCTATTTTTTTTTAATTCATTTTAATTTCTTGTACCAAAATTTTATTATTTTCCACAAAAAAAGACACTAGGCCTCAGCGCGGGCCGGGCCTCGGACCGAGCCTTGAATGGGCCTTAACCAAGCCGATGGGCCAGGCAGGGCTTCAAAGTGATGGTCCAGGCCCTAGCCTAGAGTCTCGAACTAGGCTCGAGCCCGGGCCCAAACGAGCCTTTCCCGGGTCGCGGGCGGGCTTCGGGCAGCTTACGTTCTTTTTGACTATTCCATTAAGTTCTATTTGAGGTAAGAAGACCAAAACACCATTTTCATCTACTTATATTCTATTGAGTCCATATTATTTTCTTATATTTCAATAAGTCCTATGGGAGACATAATTACCAAAATACCCATAATGTGAATGTTCACATCGTCAATGTGAATGTTCATATCATCAATGCGTAGAGGCCCGGGCCGGGCCATATCGAGCCTCGTGGGTGTCCAAAAAAATTCGGGCCGGCCTGGCCCGGCTCACGGGCCAAAAAATTAGGCCCAGGCCCTAGCCCTAGCATAAGGGTATTCGGGCTTTGGACTGGCTGATGGATCGAGCCTCGGGTCAGGCCGATGGGCCTGGGCCTAGCCTCAAGTTTAGGTTGGGCTTGGGCGGGCCTGGCCATTTTTTTTAATTCTTTTTAATTTTTTCTACCAAAATTTTATTATTTTTCACAAAAAAAGACATTGCGCCTCGGGCGGGCTGGGCCTCAGATCGAGCCTTGAATGGGCCTTTAGCGGGCTGATGGGCCAGGCCGGGCTTCAAAGTGATGGCCTAGGCCCTAGCCTAGGGTCGCAGACATGCTCGGGCCCGGACCCAAACGAGCCTGCCCCCGGCCGTGGGCGGGCTTCCGGCAGCCCACGGGCTGCTGGCCAATTCTATATTCCTATCAATGTGCATGTTAACATGTTAATGTGAATATTCACATTGTCAACGGGTCAGGCCGGCTCTACCCTAGGCCGCGGCCAAGCTTCGGGCAGCGGGCAGATTTTACACTCCTATCAATGTTAATATTAATATGTCAATGTGAATATTCACATTGTCACGGGTCAGGCGAAGCCCGCCTCGAGCTGCGGTCGGGCTTCGAGCCCCCCACGGGCTGCGGGCCAATTTTACACTCTTATCAATGTGAATGCTAACATGTCAATGTGAATATTCACATTGTCAACGGGCCGGGTTGGGCCCGCCTTGGGCCGCGGATCAATTTTATACTCTTATCAATGTGAATGTTAACATGTCAATATGAATATTCACATTGTCAACAGGCCGGGTCGGGCTCGCCTCAGGCCGCCCACGGGCTGTGGGTAGGTTTCGGGCAGCCACGAGGCGCGGGCTAATTTTACACTCCTATCAATGTGAATGTTAACATGTCAATGTGAATATTCACATTGTCAACGGGCCGGGCCCGCCCCGCGCAGCGGGCGGGCTTTTGGCCGTGCATGGGCCACGGGCCAATTTTATACTCTTATCAATGTGAATGTTAACATGGCAATATGAATATTCACATTGTCACGGGTCGGGCCAAGCCCGCCTCGGGCTGCTGTCGGGCTTCGGGCCACCCACAGGCTGCGGGTCAATTTTGCACTCTTGTCAATGTGAATGTTAACATGTCAATGTCAATATGAATATTCACATTGTCAACGGGTCGAGTCGGGCCCGCTGGCCAATTTTATACTCTTATCAATGTGAATGTTAACATGTCAATGTGAATATTCACATTGTCAACAGGCCGGGCCGGGCCTGCCCCGGATCGCCCACGGGCCGTGGGCGGGTTTCGGGTAGCCACGAGGCGCGGGCTAATTTTACACTCCTATCAATATGAATGTTAACATGTCAATGTGAATATTCACATTGTCAACGGGTTGGGCTCGCCCCGGGCCACGGGCGGGCTTTTGGCCGCCCATGGGCCTCGGGCCAATTTTATACTCTTATCAACGTGAATGTTAACATGCCAATGTGAATATTCACACTGTCAACGGGTCGGATCGGGCCCACCCCAGGCTGCCCATGGGCCGTGGGCGGGTTTCGCGCCGTTAGAGGACGCGGACCAATTTTACACTCCTATTAATGTGAATGTTAACATGTCAATGTGAATATTCACATTGTCAACGGGCCGAGCCGACTCGAATTTTTTGGGACACCCACGAGGATCGACATGGGCCGGACCCCTACACATTGGCGATATGAACATTCACATTGACGGTGTGAACATTCACATTAGGGGTATTTTGGTAATTATGTCACCCATAGGACTTATTGAAACATAAGAAAATAATGTGAACTGAATGGAACATAAGTAGATGAAAAAGGTATTTTGGTCTTCTTATCTCAAATAGGACCTAATGGAATAGTAAAAAAGAATATGCGTTGGATGTAATAAAACTCTTAGAAAGTGGATTTATCAAAAAAGCTCCCAAAGAAGAATAACTCTTTTCTTTAAAGGGCATTTATTCATAAATTGCTCTTCACCTACTTATATTTCACTTAATTTAAATTATTTTCTTATGTTTCAATAAGTTCTATGAGTAACATAATGTGAATGTTCTGTGATGTGAATATTCACAGTGTGAATATGAATATTTATATTGTAAAATATGAATATTCACATTACTTAGGCCCTGTTTGGTAGAGCTGTGGGAAAGTGCTTATAACTTATGTCTAAACAGCTTATAGCTTATAACTATGAACATAAGCTAATTTCTGACTTATAAATTAAGCATCTCTTGCTCCACTTAAAGAATAAGCTGATTTCTGACTTCCAAAAAGCTGTAAGTTAAACCAAACACATCAAAATAGCTTAAATTAAGCTGAAAGCTGAAATAAGCAGTTTTTAAGCTGCACCAAACAGACACTAAATTGCTAAGTGTTTAAAAAAATTTGTAAGGGTAAAATTATCTATAAAATACCTTAAATATAATAATTAAGATTTAGTGGATCAAATGTCCAAATAATAAGACTTGTTAGAATACAAAAATATGTTATGTACTAATTGGAATATCAGTAGTTGAAAAAGGATTTGCTAATAAAACCCCTTTCTTTAATTATAAAATATATAATAAAAATACCTTTCTTTTGATATAACTAAGAGAGATGAGTTATGATGAAATTTTATTTAATTAGAGAGTCCCCTCTTTAATAGGATAATATAAAGAGATAAAAGAAAAAAAGAGTTACACTTTTTTTTTTTTTTTTGATATGACCAAGGAAGTGTTAGAGAATAATAATTGTACCGGGGAGAAATATTTTTTGCCTTCCATATGCCTTACTACCAAGCTCGTCTTGCTCTGAATGAATTCCGACTCACTGTGAACACAACAAAGGTGAGTTACCTAGCGGGTAGTTTGTCAAAAAATTCCTCCGACGGTCAAGTTAGTTCACTTGAGGAAGAAAAAAGAATGCAGAGAGAGAGAGAGAGAGATAATGTGGCTAAAGTTTGCTTATCCTTCTTAGAATCTAGGCTTGCCCTTTATCTAGGTTGGCCTTGTAGCCTAAGATTGTGCGCACACTACTTCTGTCGTCTTTGCAGGATGCGTGGCTGTTCTGTTCTCTCATTTCTTTACATGTGTACGCATCAATACTGTCAAACAGTATTGGCGAAACCACCAAACGGTATTGACGCTTACCCAGAATGGATTCCTCTCCTTATGCCATTGGACCATATAGAGTGCCCCAACTGAGCAAACACATGTGCCATTCTCAAAGTGCTAGCTTAGAACAACCTTGCATTGGGATGAATCAGGCCGGTTTCTCAACTGGTTTTGGGGCTCAGTCAATCCCACAAGGGCATTCTACTCTTAGATCAATCGATGCCCCTCACAACCACATTAGTCCCACAGCTCGACGAAGCTTGGCTAAGACCCTCACTATTCGCTATCTGCATAGCTTTCGCATTAGCTCGGTTAAGAGCTTTAGCTTGGTCTTAGGTAGCGATCTCATCTTGATCTAGCCTAATTCATATTTGTGACTTATTCCTTGTTCAGCACAATCCGTGTTGACAGCCTAATTCCATCCTAGCCCAGTCCATCACCAAAGTGAGTGCTTGGCTCGGCCCGCAATCCACGTTCACTACTCAACATGATCCAACATCTTAGACAAGCAAATCGGATTGTGTGGTCCAAAATAAAGGTCCGTGTTAGGTTTAGCTCAGTTTATTTGTTCAGCACAAATTCCCCTCTTAATAATGATTTTTATTTTTTTTTATTTTTGTTATCTATATCTATACCATTATATAAAATCAATTCTTGAATTAATATAGATGAAGTCGATTCACGTTGGTAATTGTTTGGTGCAATTTTTTTATGTCCTATCTGATTGTTTCAATTGGTAATTGTTTCACACACACGCAGTGTATATCAACTCTTGTAATAATGTAAAAAAGAGAACTTGGCATGAGACATAAAAATCAAAGTCTAGAGAGATAGCAAATGACAGAGGTATACTTTTACATCATTTTTGTATATTTTACTCTCTTTTTCAATTTGATCACGATAGTAATATGATGGATTAGGTAATATTTTAATTTTATTTACTTACAATAATATTTTTAACTACTTTTTTCTGAAAATTATTTTGATTGATAATCTTTTTATGCTTATACTTTTTTCTCAAACTGCCTACCTTTTGAGCCACCAAACCAGTGTGAATGTCGGCATCAAAACATTATATTTTAGTGGTCTGTAATTTTTGTAATTGAAAAACAGACAAATAGACAAATAAAAGAGAGAACTTTCTTAGTTGCTACACTTGTGGAAAAAAATACACCTTTGTCCCTATATTTTCTCTTCCACCACCAGACCCCTCTCCATCTCATCCTCAACTTCACCTTCCACCACCACCACCACCAAACCCCTCTCCTCCGGCGACTTCAAACATGGACCGCCACCTCCACGAGGCAATCATAAAAGGCGACCTTCCCACCTTTCGCAGGCTCATCGAACAAGATGAGAATTTCATCCAACAAACAGTTCTTGAATCATTAAACACCACCCTACACTTAGCTGCCCGATTCGGGCACACGGAGTTGGCAACGGCGATTGTGAGGTGGCGGCCGGAGATGGTAGCGGCGGAGAACAGAGAGATGGAAACACCTTTGCATGAAGCATGCAGAGAAGGTCAAGTGGAGATTATGAGGATGCTTTTGGAGACTGACCCACGGGTGGCTTATAAAGTGAACAAGTATGATGAGAGTGTTCTATTTGTGGGGTGTGAGAAAGGGAGGCTTGAAGTTGTGAAGCATCTCTTGAGCTTTCCATGGCTGCTCATGTTGGAGTTGGATATGTTGACAAGTTCCCTCCATGTTGCAGCCTCAGGAGGGCATACTGGTAATTTTACTACGTTCACTGCAGCTTATATATGACTTTTAAGAACCAAACTTTTCATCTCCAAAAAGAAAAAAAATTATTGCAAAAATCATTGGGAGACTAATTCTTATTGTCATATGAGTCATCATTAAAAGGTTATAAAAATCAAAAAAATAAATTTACCGATAAAATTTTAAAAATATTACTCATAAATATTCTTTTAGAGATAATAATTTTATACAAAAAAATTTACTGTTTTGAAGCAAAAATTTTGATCTAAAAAAGATAATATTTATCATTAAATATCTAATTTTGTTACTAAAAATACCACGACACTTTAGTTTGTCCCTAAAAATTGATTTGGTCCTTCAAATTTTTGTCTCTAAAAATTATAACTAATTTGAGTAATACTATACAAACACAAAAATTATTTGAAAACTTCATCCAAAATGATGTGGTTGACTTGTACTCATTTATTCCAAACAAATACTTATTATTATAAAAATAACAATGATTGAGACTTCTTTTTTGGGACTCCACAATCACGTTTGGATCTCAACCATTAATCCCATAATTTCCTTTGGATCTCAACCATGGATGGTATGAGCCTCACACATATATGAGTGGGTCTCACATATACATCAATAGTTGAAATTCAAAGGGAGTTATGAGATCCAAAAAATGCAGTCTCAAGCATGTTTTTTTATAAAAATGCCGTTGCTATATCATTTTTGTATATAAAATTTATGTTTAAAAATCATTTTTCAACTAGTTTATTTGCTTTCACTTTCATTTTTTCAAAGTAAAAAAATTAAAAAAAGTTCTAAAGACAATACCAGACAAGTTTTCAATTTTATACATCAATTCCATTACCTTCATCCAGAAGTAATTCATAAAACCTTCTGCCCACAGCAAATCATGTACAACTAAAAGTTCAAAGCCTTTTTTTTTTTCCCCCACGGTATAGTGAAATTAATTATAATTTTTTAATTACATGTGGAAGATAAGCGCATTACACCCATAACTTTTGGTGCAATTCTTGGCTTCTATTGTCAAGAAAGTAGGCTAAACAATTTTATTTGTCTACTTGCATAGAAAAATTTTACAAGAGGAAAATTCTATGGTATTAGAAAAATATCCAGAAATTTCTTATCTATGGTGTACATTCAAGCTTATTATCATGTTGTACCAAAAAAAAAAAAAAAAAAGCTTATTATTATGGGACATATTTTGAGCGAATCTTTGACCATTGATTTTAAATTCTGAGAAATTTTTTAATTTTTTAATTTTTTTTTTCTCATTTGTTTACAAAAATTCCAAAGACAAGGGTGTGTCCATTACATATGTGAGGTCACCTCTTGTCTTGATACATGAGAGTTAATAAAATTATAAGCAAGCAACACAAATTTTTTTTTTTGACCGAGTGTCTGAATTAGTTTACGCATATATTGACTAATTTCGGGACTAAAGCAAAGTATCTCTCTAAGTGGATCGGGCAAATCTCAAGTATAGTCTGTAGTCATGGCCCTAAGGAGCGGATTGCTCCTAATAATGAGAGTTAAACCTGAGTTAGAGGAAACACACCTCTAAGTTCCAGGTTGCACCCAATAGACCAATTTTTTGGAATTCAAGTAACCCAACACAATTAATAATAATTTATTTTTTCTTAAATAATAAGTTGCAATATTTAGCCCACTAGCCAAGAGGCTTGGGTCCCCAAAATTTAAGATGGAGAAAATCATTTTATGGTTTAGAATTACTATGTAGTCATTTAATTTAGGCCTTTAGATTTTTCTTTATTTAAGGTGGTCAGTCATAAATTATCAAAATTAAAAATAATGTGATGAACTTAGATTGGAAAATAATTACTCCAAGTTTTGATAGGAAAAGAATATGCATCAACCATATTGAGGCCTATGAATACCTCTTTTAAGCTATATTTAGATCATGAATTTAAATAAAAAAAATTAAAAAAAAAAGAAAAGAAAAGAAAAGAAAAATATGGGTAAACTGTGAATTGAAGAATTGAAGAATCCTATAAGCTAATAATTGAAGAAAAAGAAATTTACAACCACATACTTCGGGAGGAAAGCATAAATCATTTTATCACAAGCTCAAAAAGTTATAAGGTCCTGTTTTTATGTCAATTCATTTACGTTGTGTTTGGTTGAAAAATTTGAAAAGAGATTTAAAAACTAAAACAGAAAAAGTTTGTGAAATTAAATAAAATGTAAGTATATTTTATTTATATTTCACTTATATTTTCTCTCTCCATTTTCAAATCTCTTCCCAAATCTTCCAACTAAAACAACATTAGATGATGTGGCCCTTGTACTCCAACATGCATGTTTTTTTCCACACGTTATATATGTTCACACACAAAATTTACGGTTGTACAGTCCACTGGCTAAATTTTCCACAATGAAAATTATTATACAAAGTGTGGCATCATTATCTCATGTGATATTTACTGAATTAAACCACAAACATGTAACCTCACACTTTATTGATACTCATGCTCGTTTAGTTACGCTCCGTTTATTTACGGAGAGAATATTTTTTTAGAGAAAATATTTTTTTATATTTGATTGTGGTGGTAGTGGTGGTGGGACAAAAGGGGAGGTGAAGGTGGTGGCGGCGATGGCCGTAGTGATGGTGATAGTGGATGTGGTAGTGTGGTTGGAAAATATTTTTTGTCTTTTAAAAGTGAAAAACACTTTCTGTTTAAATAGGTTTGTTTTTCATAAGCCATAGACTTTTGTTTTTTATCATACTAAATGCTAGAAAATACAAAAAAAAAAATATATTTATTTTCTATCCAAACAAACAGAGAAAATAGATAGTTAAGAAATTATAATAATTATATAATATTATGCTAAACAACAATACTCTTAAAAAATCCAAAACATTCCAAAAAGATCTTTTAAGTAGTATTAGCATTACAAAACAATGCCTAGGATAAGGTGGTAAGAAAATATAGTTTGCGTACTATTACTGTAAAGAAAATTATATATATGTTCATTTTTAGACTTAGTGATATATAAAAAGATTAATTAAAAAATATATGACACTGACAGAGTTTTCTTAGATATTCTAATAAGCTATCAAATTATTAAATTCAAAAAGTAAATCTAATTTGTAAGTTAAAATAATATTACTCTTATTGTTATGTGGGTAGGTCAATGCATTAACTACCTCTTAGCTTCTTTTGGTCATAAGACTATGTAGTTCTGCATTCCAACATTAAAAAAAAAATTTTGAGAACATATTTTTTTTCCCAGGCATTTTTTAAAAAAAATTGTCTTTAAAAATTGTCTGCTGCTAAAACTAATAGAGCTAGTGGTGATAGTAGTACTGGCAATGATGGAAAAGGTTAGATGTTGATGGTGGTGTTGACGGTGACAGTGGTATATGATAAAAAATAAGACTCTAGTCTATCTTGTTATTTGATAAAAAAAAAAAGTCTATCTTGTTATATTCGAAAAATATTTTTCACCTTAAAAAAGTGAAACATTTTCTCCACAAAACAAATTAACTTTCATTACAAAAAAAATAAAATTAAATAAAATTATTATAGGAAAAAAAAAAGAAAAAAAAAAAAAACATTGATTGACTCTTGTAATAAAATAAATATTGAGTTTTTAATTCTATAAATTCAAACTCTAATGATTTAATTTATTTTTAATTTAAACCATTTGTCTATTTTTGTTAAATAAAACTGACAGAAAAAGAGTATTCTAACTATTAAACTCAATATATGTGTACATGAAATATCTAAAGTATCTTTTTTCATTGAGTTTAATAACAAAAATATTTTTTTTCTATTGGTTTCACTAAGCGAAAATAGACAAATAGTTTAAATTGAAAATAAATTAAAAGATTACGATTTAAATTGATAAAATAAAAAATAAAAAAATTATTTTATTATAAAGGTCAAACTCTAGAGTTTTTTTTTTTATTATAATTACCCCATGTTTTTTTTTGTTTACTTTTGTTTTTTAAATCATACCGAATGCTAAAAAAATCATAAAAGGTTATTCAACTAAAATAAACAAAATGTTAGCGCTGGTTACTTTTGTGGCAGTCATTCACAACATGAGATCTTTTGTTTCCAAGTCCGTATACTCGTTTGTTCCAAAACATTTACATCCATTAAATCATATATTGAGAAGATTACTCGTATCTCAAAATTTTCAATGATTTAGTGATTTGAGTGTTTTAAAACAGAAGACAAAGATTTGGGAACCGAATACTTGATTCTTATTCGCTAGTGTCCTAATTTTTGCAGAGATAGTCAAGGAAATACTGAAAGAACGCCCTGATTTCGCCTCGAAAACAGACAGCCATGGATGTTCACCATTGCACCTAGCTTGCGGCAAAGGTCACCTTGAGATAACCAGAGAACTCCTCAGATCAGACTCAGATCTCTCTTCTTTACAGGACCATGAAGGTCGAACTCCCCTCCACTGGGCAGCCATCAAAGGTCGAGTTAACATTGTCGACGAAATACTCTCCATGAGCCTTGAATCTGCTGAGATGGTAACCAAAAATGGCGAAACAGTTCTTCACCTGGCTGTGAAAAATAATCAGTACGAGGTGCTGAGGTACTTGGTCGAGACGCTCAACATTACGAGGCTGGTGAACTTGCCAGACAACGATGGCAATACGGTCTTGCACCTTGCAACTGCTGGGAAGCTCACTACTGTAAGATCTCTTAAACTTATGCTTCATTTGTTTCAACATAAAATATTTTTCAAAATATATTATGGAGAAAGTGATTTCCTACATTTGGTCACGTGACCTTAAAATTAATGTGCTACTATGGCGTTGGTGTGTGCTTGTGCGATGCAGTGGTACACTGGTAGTGATGGTTGTTAGGGATGGCAAACTTAAAATCGTTTTCTGCCCAAATAATTTTTTTTAATATTTTAATCATGGAAAACGTTCCCTCTTGACTTGCACCAATAAATGCAAAAAATATTTCCAAAACAACTAGTGTTTTAATATATTTCTCTTCTTGTTTGTGTTTTTCCTTGGGGAGAATAGATGGTCATCTACCTCCTCAAGCTTGGCCTAGATGTAAATGCTCTCAACCGCAAGGGATACACAGCTCTAGATGTAGTTGAATCCGATGCCAGCAACTCTGGCGCGCTAGCCATCGTACCAGCATTGCAAGAAGCTGGAGCAAAGAGATGTGATCAGCTGCCCCCCAGCTCACTGGAAATCCAATGGATCACCGAACCGGTCTCCTCCAGAAGATCACACGATCACAGTAACATCCCTTACTTGCCGTATTCAAGGCCGAAGAAGACTTCAGAATCTCCGGGACAGGGCCAGCGTCGCCGGCACCGGCACCGGAGAGCGAAGCAGATTGAACACCAAATGGAGGGTCTACGAAATGCCCGGAACACAATAACTGTTGTGGCGGTTTTGATAGCAACAGTTGCATTTGCCGCTGGTGTAAACCCTCCCGGTGGCTTTAACCAAGAGAGTGGGAAGGCTATAATGGGTAAACAAACACCTTTCAAGGTCTTCATGGTGTGCAACATTGTGGCATTGTTTTTGTCACTAGGCATTGTCAATGTTCTTGTGAGCATTGTTCCTTTCAGGAGAAAGTCCATGATGAAACTACTAGTAGTGACCCATAAGGTCATGTGGTTGTCTACTTTGTTTATGTCGTCGGCTTACATTGCTGCCATATGGACAATTATGCCACACGATAAAGGGACAAGATGGGTGTTGGTGGAACTTGCGCTTATTGGAGGAGGGTGCACAGTCGCATTGTTTTTGGGTCTAGGAGTGATGTTGACAATGCATTGGCGTAGAAAACGGGAATGGAAGATGAGGAAGGAGAGGAACAAGAACAAGGATGGAAGCCCCAACAGTAGCATCAGTCGGGTTGAAGAGATGCGGATGATTAAGAAGGGCAGTCGAGAATCTAGTAGTAACTCGGACGTCGATAGCTCGGATCAAGGAGGTTATCACTTGTATTAGATGTAAATGATTCATGAATAACTTAGGAAATTAAATGGAACATTACTCTTCCAATGTATCACTGTCAAATCTTACATGAGTTCTATTGTGTATTGGAGTACCACAATGTCAAATCTTATATAAGTTCTCTATTGTAATTGTTATCATACCCATAAGTCACAATGTTTAGTAACACTATGTGCCAAGAGAAAGCATTACCTCTTCAGAATCTACACCCCCTTGCAATCATGTCAAAATCACTCGGCATTGGAGAAATTACTTGGACACCTGCAGCTGCAAACTTCTCCTGAGAAATCCAGACAACTTTGCACTTGCAGCCCGACCTCGTTCTAGACACTGAAGATAATCATCCACTGAGTACAGATTCAGCAAATTAGACATCATATCTCACAATTTAAATCAAATAAAAGCTCTAAAAGTTCACTTAATTCTCATAGACAATTAATAACCATATGACCTAAACATTGTGCAAGAACTAAGAAAAGAAAGTGCCGAATTATTATAAATTGACTGGAATGTGGAATACCACCAAACAACAGACCTGCATTTATAAATAATAAAATAAAAGAAGAAGAAGAAGAAGTAGAGGCAATTTCCATGGAGTACAAAAAAAATTATTTCCAGAGAGAGTACAAAATAGAGGAAAACAGATTAATCCACCAAAACAAGTGGCAGTACCAAAAGATGAAAAGATGGCCTTAACCAACCATCTCTCCCTTCAGCAATCTCTGAAAACAACTCTCAAAATCGAACCAAAAACTCTAATTGTGTCACCCTTTGGTGTAGAAACAAAGAAGAAAAAAGAGTGCGAAATTCTACACACACACACACACACACACACAAAGGTTACTCCTGAAATCTTCAATTAATTTCAAGAGTCATGCTACAATTCATATGGTGCATCCTATATGCAAGTTATGGTCCATATTAAGGTTGGTTCCAAACCATTATGGTATTATAAAGTTAGTCATTATAGTGGTGGAGCCAACAAATTATCAAATCAAATTTGGTTACGTCCCATTACAGTGTCTGGTTATGTCCCATTGTAGTGTTAGCTATGGCCCATTGTGGTAGCTTTTGTAACGCTCAAATTGGTGTTAGTTACAACCTAATGTGCTATGGCTCAGATTCATTTCTTGTAAATCCACAGCTGAAAATGCACTATGCACCTTTTTTGGGGTGTGTAGTAAAATTTCTCTTGTTTCAATTATGCAATCAAAAGTAAGCTCTTCATAACTTTTTTCTTTTTTTTTGAAAATTATGTCCCCCCATATATATTTTGTCTAAATATATAAAACCACTGGCTAAAAAGGAAACAAATCTAATTTAAAAAAAAGAAAAAAAGAACTAGAATCCTGATGAAATTAAAATTGTTCTGAATTATTTTCCTTTGCCTAAAATACAGCAAAAATTGATTCCTTGATCCCCAAGAAAACAACATTTTTAAGCCTCTTAGCCCGCCAAATAAGCAATTGTGCACTGCATTGAACCAAATTATAGTTGTTGTCAAGCCTGTTTGGTTATGTTTTCATTTTTCAGTATTTTTTTATTTTTTATTTTATTTTTGGAAACAAAACAATAAAATGTTTGGAAAACACCCAGCATTTTTTATCATTTTCATTTTTGTGCAAAAACAATTTTTGAAAATTCGAAAACAACTTCTTGGTGTTTCCTAAAAAGTGAATTGTTTTCTGAAAAATTTCTCAAAAACTGTTTTGCTTCAAAATAGTTGACCTACAAGCTTTCAATGTTTTCCAAAATATGAAAATAGAAAATAAAACCAAACAGGCCTTAACTAAACCTTCTTGAATATTGAAGCAAACAGGTTGTGTTTCCCACACACTCATATTTTGTTGATTTAGGCAGCACTTCATATAAATTCTGTGGCATACAAATAAGCAAGTAAAGACTTTCTTCAGTAACGAAAGAACGAACCACCACAAAAAAATACAAAAAATAGCAAATGTTTCTTTGGATTTTGGATTTCTCAATGGAGAAGAGATGCAATAATTTATTTTATTTTATTTTTTAAATCCTAGCAGTTAAACCCGAAAAGAAAACCAAACCAAACCAAACCAAATTGGTTGGGTTTTGAGACACCAATAATTCAGTGCATGAAACTGCATGTCCTGGACACCAAAAGATTCATCGTAGCTTTTTGAAAAACCCCTTACTAAAAAAAATTTCACTAATTAATCACTTTTTCAGTTGAGGGAGGCAGAAACTTCAATAGTATAACAAGTAGTTTTGACAATTAGTATTCCTCGAAGTTCCAATGCACTTCTCTAATAACATAAACCAAACCAAGCCTTAAATCCCATCATATAGGATCGGCTGCATGAATCCTTCTTCTCCACTCGACTCTATCCAAGGCCATTTTGTTAGTCAAATTAAGAAGATTCATATTTCTATTTACTACACTAGTCCACGTTAATCTAGGTCTATCCCTTCCCCTAATATTACCATCTATCGTTACTGTATTGCATTTCTTCATTACTGCCTCTGTTGGTCTCCGTTGTATATGACCAAGCCATCTCAACTCAATCTATTCTCTCTCAACTTATCTTCTATCAGTATAACTTCTACCTATTCTCAAATATACTCATTCTTAACTCTGTTTTTTCTAATCTTATCACACATCCACCTTAACATCCTCATCTCAAGAATACTCATCATATCTACGTGTTGTTTCTTAGTTTACCAACATTTCGTCCCATACAACATCGCTGACATAATAACTGTTCTATAGAACTTCCCTTCTAGTCTAATGGGTACTCGTTTTTCGCACAGTACTCCAGACGCACTCCTCCACTTAAACCACCCCGCCTTAAGTCTATGGACCACATCCGCTCCAATCTCCTCAATCGTTGTGATAATCGATCCTAAATAACGAAAATGCTTACTCTGAGGTAGTTCTTGGTTCTCAATCTTCACTTTTCCTCTGCTTCCATTGTGACTGTTACTAAAATTACACTCCATATACTCTGTCTTAGTTCTGCTTATCCTAAATTCTTTAGATTCAAATGTTTTTTTTTCCAAATCTCCAACTTAATGTTAACTCCTTCTCTAGTCTCATCCACTAACACGATATCATTTGCAAAAAGCATACACTATGACACATCATCCTGAATATTGCGTGTCAACTTATCCATAACTAAAGCGAAAAGATAAGGACTTAAAGTTGATCTTTGGTGTAACTCTACAGTAATTGAAAATTCACCTCGTCTCTCCAACAGACGATCTAATAATGGTCACCACACCTTCATACATATTCCTAAGTACATCAATGTAACCTTTTGTCACCTATTTCTTCTCTAAAACCCACAAGATTATATCTTGAGGTACTCTATCATATGCTTTCTCATAATCAATAAAAATCATATAAATGTCTTTTTTTCTTTTCTCTATACTTTTTTCTATACTTTTCTATTACTTTCCTCAAAAGATAGATCATTTCCATTGTTAGCCTACCAGGCATAAACCCAAATTGATTTTCGGACACCTCTGTTATACCTTGCAATCGATGTTCCATCACTCTCTTCCACACTTTCATTGTGTGACACATTAACTTGATTCCTCTATAGTTGTTGTAATTTTAGACATCTCCTTTATTCTTATATATTGGCACTAAAATACTCTTCATCCACTCCTCTGACATTTTCCAAATTAACAAAATCTTGCTAAATAACCTAGTCAACCAAACAACCCCCTTCTTATCCAAACATTTCCACACTTCAATAAGTATATCATCGGGTCCTAAAGCCTTATTCGATTTCATCTTTTTAAGTGCAAACTCCACTTGAAAGTTCCTAATCTTACAATAGAACCTATAGTCCTTGTTTTTCTTATTACTGCCTACTTTCTCCCCTTTTGACCTACCTCCATTTCCTCATTTAACAGCTGTAGAATTTATGTATTATTGATTGATGTTTGTTACAAGATTGATTTATTTGTGTTATGTATTACAACTCCTATATATAGAAGAGAAGGTGGTAGTAGGAACGAAAGAACGAACCACCACAAAAAAATACAAAAAATAGCAAATGTTTCTTTGGATTTTGGATTTCTCAATGGAGAAGAGATGCAATAAATTATTTTATTTTATTTTATTTTTTAAATCCTAGCAGTTAAACCCGAAAAGAAAACCAAACCAAAGCAAACCAAATTGGTTGGGTTTTGAGACACCAATAATTCAGTGCATGAAACTGCATGTCCTCGACACCAAAAGATTCATCGTAGCTTTTTGAAAAACCACTTACTAAAAAAAATTTCACTAATTAATCACTTTTTCAGTTGAGGGAGGCAGAAACTTCAATAGTATAACAAGTAGTTTTGACAATTAGGCCTCGTTTGGCAAGATGCTATTTTAGCTAATTAGTCAAAAAGTTACTAAATTAGTCAAAAAGCCAACAATCCATACCAAAAAGTCAAAGATTCTCTTTTCTCTCTACTTTTTGCACATCTTTTCGTAATTAGCCAAAAAGTCATCCCAAACATACAAGTTTTTTTTACCTACCTTTTTAGCCAAATAGCCAAAAAGTTACTAAATTAGCCTGTTCCCAAACGAGGCCTTAGTATTCCTCGAAGTTCCAATGTACTTCTCTAATAACATAAACCAAACCAAGCCTTAAATCCCATCATATGGGACAACTGCATGAATCCTTCTTCTCCACTCGACTCTATCCAAGGCCATTTTATTAGTCAAATTAAGAAGATTCATATCTCTATTTACTACACTAGTCCACGTTAATCTAGGTCTATCCCTTCCCCTAATATTACCATCTATCGTTACTGTATTGCATTTCTTCACTACTGCCTTTGTTGGTCTCCGTTGTATATGACCAAGCCATCTCAATCTATTCTCTCTCAACTTATCTTCTATTAGTACAACTTCTACCCATTCTCAAATATACTCATTCTTAACTCTGTTTTTTCTAATCTTATCACACATCCACCTTAACATCCTCATTTCAACAATACTCATTTTATCTACGTGTTGTTTCTTAGTTTACCAACATTTTGTCCCATACAACATCGCTGACATAATAACTATTCTATAGAACTTCCCTTTTAGTCTAATGGGTACTCGTTTTTCGCACAGTACTCCAGACGCATTCCTCCACTTACACCACCCCGCCTTAAGTCTATGGACCACATCCGCTCCAATCTCCTCAATCGTTGTAATAATTGATCCTAAATAACGAAAATGCTTACTCTTAGGTAGTTCTTAGTTATTAATCTTCACTTTATCTCTGCTTCCATTGTGACTGTTACTAAAATTACACTCTATATACTCTGTCTTAGTTCTGCTTATCCTAAATTCTTTAGATTCAAATATTTTTTTTTCCAAATCTCCAACTTAGTGTTAACTCCTTCTCTAGTCTCATCTACTAACACAATATCATTTACAAAAAGCATACACCATGACACATCATCCCGAATATTGCGTGTCAACTCATTCATAACTAAAGCGAAAAGATAAGAACTTAAAGTTGATTCTTGGTGTAACCCTACAGTAATTGAAAATTCACCTCGTCTCTCCAGCAGACGATCTAATAATGGTTACCATACCTTCATGCATATCCCTAAGCACATCAATGTAATCTTTTGTCACCCATTTCTTCTCTAAAACCCACGAGATTATATCCCGAGGTACTCTATCATATGCTTTCTCATAATCAATAAAAATCATATAAATGTCTTTTTTTCTTTTCTCTATACTTTTCTATTACTCTCCTCAAAAGATAAATCATTTCCATTGTTGGCCTACCAGGCATAAACACAAATTGATTTTCGGACACCTCTGTTATACCTTGCAATCGATGTTTCATCACTCTCTTCCACACTTTCATTGTGTGACACATTAACTTGATTCCTCTATAATTGTTGTAATTTTGGACATCTCCTTTATTCTTATATATTGGCACTAAAATATTCTTCCTCCACTCCTCTGACATTTTCCAAATTAACAAAATCTTGCTAAATAACCTAGTCAACCAAACAACGCCCTTCTTATCCAAACATTTCCACACTTCAATAGGTATATTATTGGGTCCTAAAGCCTTATTCGATTTCATCTTTTTAAGTGCAAACTCCACTTCAAAGTCCCTAATCTTACAATAGAATCTAAAGTCCTGATTTTTCTTATTACTGCCAACTTCCTCCCCTTTTGACCTACCTCCATTTCCTCATTTAACAACTTCTCAAAATAGTTCCTTCACCTCTCCTTAATCGATAAAAATGCAGCATAACATGAATATGAAAGAGATTAAGAAAAGGAACATCTAACAGATACCTGACATTACACCATGTGTAACAGACGTAATTAGCCCATGTTCCATCGGCTCATCTCCCACCTGTAATGATGCTCCCGGAAGGACAGAGAGAATCGAGTTTGGGAAAACTAAATACACAAATGCCTTCATTTTCTGCCATTGCACACCATATATACAGGTATTCAGGTATAAAATTATAGAGTGAATCCAATGCATGTATATTTAAAGATGTCAAAACTCAAAATTCTAAGGAACAAACAACAGTTATCTTTCAATATTCTGGTCATATTATAAACTACAAAATATACCCATTAATCTCCAAAAAGAATGAGTGCACAAGATGTGTAGAGGATTAAAAGGTAAATTCTGTTTCGCAGTTCTATGGGACTTTCTTTTTTTTGCCTATGTTTCATATAAAAGTATGTCACAAGAGTAAAACCATTAATACAAAACAGCGCATAACTTACAATCAATTCTATTTTAGCGACAATAGTCAAAAAACCTCATTCACAACGAAGAACAAATTTTCATTTCCTTTAATGCACTCGAAACATTAATGGAAACCAAAATTCTATCATTTCCATCAAAACATACCAGAAGTGTTAATCACCTTCTTATCCCTTGTTGGGTGGCTGGCTAGTGATAGAGTTTAGTTTTTTTTTCTAATTTTTTGAGTTCCTTCAGTGATTCATGCTTTTGTGGGTGATTTGCATACATGTTGGAGGTTTGGATGTCCTAAGGAGAATAGAGGACGTGGCTTTGGTTTTTTGTAGACAGTAGGCGGACTTTTGAGAGTATTGAAATACCTGTTCATAGTTTGAAAGGATCATTACTCCTTTCTCTTTTTCTTCTTCTTTTTCTTTTTTCTTTTTTTTTTTTTTTTTTTTTTTTTTTTTTAAAAAAAAAAAAAAAAAAAAAAAAAAAAAAAAAAAAAAAAAAAAAAAAAAAAATGGATGCATAGATTATAGGTTTTGGGCTTTTTGATTGTTCAGGGTTTGCCCCCTTTTAGGCACTTTTTTTAATAAAATTTCATTCATCCAAAAAACATACCGAAATGCACTGAAACTCACTGAAACATTACAAAACACAGTGAAACACTAATTTGTTTTGACACCTATCAAAAATCCAAGAAGTTTATATTCTCTTCTTTTTTCTTTTTTCTTTTTTAAGTTCGGAAAACAAATAAAATGTCTAAAAGTTTATTGAAAATATGAGAAAGTAGAATGGAGAATAGAGCACACTAACAAAGAAAAGAGAAAGAGGACATACTTCATTTTTGTTACAAGTACTTTTTTTGTTTATTCCTTATTACTTCTAGAATTTAGCATTTTTTTTATTTTTTTCTTTTTATAAATTATTAGCTTACATATACAGTTCTAAGTTTTAGTTTTGTTTTTAAACATTTTTGCGTGTTTCAAAAAAATTGAACTATTTTCCTTGTTTTTTTTAAGTGTTTCTAAAAAAATTTCATTTCCAAGCTGACCAAAACTACACACCTAAACAAAAATTTTGATCCTTGAATCATAACCAGAAGGGCGATTAGAAATTCAAACAGGAAATTACTATAACCTGCTCTTCTAGCTTGTTCGGGTCCAGTATAATGTATCCACTTTCTGCCAGACAACAACATATTGCAACTGCAAAAACCAGTGAATAAAAATTAGCACACATTCACCAAACAATAAAATGGAAATGTAGCCATAGATCTTGTTTACCTGCAAGATGCTTCAAAGGAATTCCAGCATCCACAAGGGCAGCACATGCAGCATTTATTGCACATGGGAGAAGCTAGACAAGGTTCAGTCAAGAAGTGGCACATACAATATAAGTCGAAGGGAAAATTTGGGCATTCCATGATAATGAAATCAGGCTATTTTGTTATCAATAACATTAATCCATCCTTAGAATAGAAGGGAGCCACACAACAATGAAATTAAGTCATGCACAAATGAAAGTTCACCAAAAACTGACAGATGGTGTCATGTTTTGAAGTTCTATTATGATATATGACAACAAATAAACCCATGTTTAATGTTATGAAAACTATAAACCCAATATATATGTATACATACGCTGCATAAAAGACAACAAAACAAATTCTTCTCCAATGGACATCCAAACACTGTCCACAAAGAAAAACAGTAGGACATCAGAAGTTTGTCAGGGTAAAAATTGAAGCTACCACAAGATGTCTAGATTCTGGCATCTCCTGCTACTTCATTAGGTAAAAAGAGGCCAAGCTCCTATTCGCAGCCCATGCCATTTAACCAAGAAAAAAAAAGGGAAAAAGGTTAAAATTAAATATCTATCACAATTGCCGGCTGTGCAAAATTTTACATGGAATTTCCAAATGCCCATTTGATGTAGATCTGGTGAGGTTTTTAAAGAACAAAGTAGCCACCAAGAATGCAATGATTAGAAGAGTTTTGGCGAAGGTCCAAATAGTAATTATTGTACTAAAAGTAACAATGTGAGCACAAGGATACAGCACCATCATCATTAACAACCTGAAAAGAAAGCATAAGAACTCAACGCTTGTACTGGAAGAGGATATTAATGCAATCACACCATATAACAAGCATGAACACCAACGAAAATGAACAGGAAATTGCCTCTGGCTCACTAACCGCATATGAAAAAACAAATTCTAAAATAGAAGATGTAAATATGTAGCAAATGGAATCCAAGAAGTACAAACAAACTCATTTAGATAACACATGCAAAGAAAAGATCAACTATCCTTATGTTAATCATGGCCACTAACCCACTACTAATGAAAACTTAAATCATAAAACTTCTAAAATTTGTCATGTGCTGTCTCTGAACTTTTCTATCATTCTCAGCTGAATTAATTTTGAAAGCAAATTGTATGACATTGCAAAGCTTATCATCTTGAGTTTGAACAGACACTGAGTTGTCATTTATGCACAATTGATGCAAATTCCCAGTAAGTAAAACGCTCATTTCCACTCATCTGCAAAGTTTTCAGCCAAAGAGTTGCAAAATATGTAACACATACTGAAAACATCCAAATGTCTAGGGAATAACGTTTTAAGGCTGTGTTTAGATCATAGATTTGGGTAGGCATTTGGAAAGAAAAAGAGAAAAGATGAGGAGGACAATGTGAATGAAATATAAGTTAAATTTTTTATCCATTTCCTTGTCCCTTTCCAAATCCATGATCCAAACACAACGTAAAGGGGCAAAACCCAAGTCACAATTCATTCAAAATTCACACTCAACTCAAAGAAATTGCTGTCCTTAAAAGTTCAAAAGGATTTAGCTACTTCGGTCCAGACCACATGCCAATGTAGAGTACGAACCCTTAACTAGAACCAAAATTTATGCTAGCAAGGCAAGCTTTCTTTTTAGCTTCCTGGCACTTTGTCTAGTTAGATTACCAATCATTATGGCCTTAGTCCCTATTTCAGTTAGGGTGCTCTTTCAAACCTTACCTGCTTCATAATCCATACACCAACATTTCAAAATATCTATCACCGTCTTTGGGTCAAGTAGGAGAATTACATGGCTATAATTCATATTTAAATCCAAGACCATAAATGGGTGAAGAATTTGTAACAATGTCACTGTTTCCTCTGCTGCATCTCCTCCATATCAGAGCCAGATTGCTTTCCAGCCAACAGCCTAATTAGTGAACCAAAGCTCCTCTCAGGATAAAGCTTCTTTGTGGGAAGTTATGCTAAGCTTTCGATTAAAACATTATATAGAAGAGATTGCTTATTGGGCATACATGTTATGGAAGCTAGACACTAAACCAGGTGACTATGTATTCTTTCTCTGTGAAGTTGCTAACAGTTCGCTCAATAGTAGAACCTTTAGGTAGCGAGGGAGATATAAATGAAGCTAGATTCTTTTTGCTTACTATTCATTCCCTCTTAAGTTTAACCATAATTTGAATATCTCTCGTTGATTTTTTATAGGAGAGCTCAACTTTTGTGTTGAGCTTTTTCGAGATTTTTGTAACTTTTATTTTGAGCTTTTTGTAAGTATATAACTTTGGTACAAAGGTCGTGCCCCTTGTGGCCTCTTGAATTGAATCTTTAATTATCAAAAAAATAATCAGAATGTGATGTCTATAAAGCCATCCTCAAAGGAAAGTTTTTAATGACAATTTATAACCAAATTTAGGAATCAAAGGACAAGGGTATTTAGGTAATAACACATGTCATCAGTGAGATGATCCAATAACTTTGCAAGCACATGAGAACAGTTTTATCAGTTGCCAGATTCACAAAATTTTGATGCAACTTAACAAAGAGAAAGCACCTTCGTTCAATCATATTGGGGTTGCTTGCCTTTGTTATAAAATGCCATAAAGTTGTCAGTTTGGAGTACAATTTTGTTATTTGTAAGAAGGCATGTTTCACATACTACTACAAATATTGAAGGAAAAAAACAACTCCAAATTTTATGGATTGCTGACACTAACGAGGAAAACAAATAATCCATAAATGGCAATGAGACAGCCTAATGATACTGTCACATAAATTAAAGCATATTTGGAGCTGACAACACATTAGGCATCACATATCAAGCCACGTAAAGACTGATATTTCCAAATAAATCAAACCGCCTCACCTGAACTATAACTGAGGTTGTGGTATTTGGATTGATAGTCAAAAGACAGATACTTTGCAAAGTCCTTTTGAGGATCATCTCATACTCCTTCTCTGGTTTCCCTAGACAGCGAAGGATTTTTGCCAAAAGATAGACGGTGAGTAATAAGCTACATTATTGGAATAAGCACACACTAAAGTATGTGAAATTTCAGACTTGGTTTTCATTTATTTCCATCAATATCATACAATAACGGCAAGTGGAGCAAAATCAATAAGCTACAAACTCATCAAACAAAACAATTATTTCAACTTATGCAGCATCGATCAGCGATGTATTTACCACCAACAGGATGTGAAAATTTAGAAAAATGCTAGAGACCCACTATTCACCCACAATGACAAAACAAGGGAGTCGGACCTTACATGGTTGAGTTTGTGACAAAGCAAAAGTTGACAACTTTCCATGTCATTGTCCATAAAATTGTGGGACTTGAATTGTGGGTCTCAATCTTGTTTCCAAAAAAATAATAACCACGCTTTTACTTCTTCCAAATTCAAATAGCATGTGCCAAATAACCAACGGGTCAGGATAAATGGTTACATAAAGAAGCAACTTTAAACTATATGTGACTCGAAGATGTAATTTGATCATTATATAATTAACTCATTGGTGCAGAAATTGCATTAAAACTATTAACTGTATTCACATGGCATAAAATTTTGATTTAGTAGAGACAGTTGAAAAGAAATATAATCTCACCAATCTGCCCAGTCTTGGGCTTCCAGACAACTTCGATGCAAGCCTTTTCAGGGTTTTCATTCTTCTTGGTTCCTGCTTTCGGCCCGTATACTGCAGCAATAACTTTCGTTTCCCCTGATTCCAAAACAATAAAATTTTAAAAAATAAAAAAAAACCCAAAATATAAAATTAAAAATTGAGAAATAAACAGGACAAATAAACATTTGTGAGTTGAAGATATAGATATGACCTTGAGACCAAGTGGCAGAGCCATGAGCACGATTGAGTGTGTTACGAGAACAAGCGAGCGGTCTCAATTGGTTCGGTGTGCGACCATCCACTCTATCTACTTCCATCTTCTCTCCCACCAACCACTGTCTTTTGCAGTTTCAACAGTTATACAGTTTGGGAGAGAAAGAGAGACAGAGAGAGAATGAACAATAGTTAAATGGAGATAGTGTAGATTGTTTCAGATTTCAGAAAACACTGGAAAAAATTTCAATCACAGAGGTTCAAGCAATGAATCAGTTACAATGTCGAAAGGGTTTAGTTAGGGTTTATTTTTGTTGAGTTCGGATCCTCTACAAGTTACCTCTACAGTTTTTCCAAAACGACACCGGTTTGATGGGGGGAAAAATGTCCAAATCAGCAAATCAAAGCCCCAAATCAACTATAACTTCCATTTATATCTTTAACAAGTGGTAAACCCGTGCTATGCACAGGATTGATTTAATAATCTATAAATTTTTTAATAATACATTATGTTTTAATTTAAATCATAAAATTATAATTATAATATATATGGATCATTTTTTCAAATTTTATAAGTAAAGACAATAATACTTCAAAATAAATATTTACAAAATATTATAATCACTCAACTAATATATTTTTCTTGAAATAATAAATTTGATTTCTAATTGATGAAATTAACAATAAATAAGATTTTTCTCAATGAACCGAATATTTAAAACATATATATTCTAAAAAAACTAATAATAAACTAAATGTCATAAATTAAATCTATCTATATTTAATAAATTAAAACTCAATAAATATTGCTCATCATGTCCAAATGCCCCAAAAATTTAAAAAAAATTAAAAAATAAGAGAATAAAGAAAAAGTGTTATCATTTTTTACATACAAATAAACTTTAAAAAGAAGAAGAAGAAGAAGAAGAAGAAGAAGAAGAAGAAGATGCATTACCTTATGAGGAGTGTTGATTTAATTGTTCTCATTTTTGTGTTGTTGCTCCACTTCATTCTCTTCACAACTATTGTTTTGTTGTTGTTGTTGCTGCTCCACTTTATTATTTTCATTACCAATGAGTTGCTCCACTTCATCCAATGCTTGTAAATAAATCATATAATTTTCAATTTCCTCCAACATAACTATCAATGCTCTCATGTCTAGAAAGTCTTTTTATATATATTTTTTTATGAATATCTTGTATTACAGTTTAAAATTCATTTATGGCATTTTACATGGCCAAACGATATCTATGACGCAAATTTAGAGGAGGCTGTATATTTATCTGCATAATAAATTTAACACATTTGACATATAATTACATAAAGAATAAGATAAGCAAGTTCGATGGTACCTGGAATACAAAAGATAAAGAGTAAAAAATCTCAATAAGTATCATTGTTTATTGTAGATATATTATAAAAAAAAAATTAAAAATCTACTATACAACATCCATCTATTGAGGAGTTAATGTAACTTTTTGTAAAAAAATTATAACACAGTGGTTTTAAAATAAGAAAAAGATAACATAACCAAATTATTGTTGTACATGGGGGTGGGGGACACAAAGGAAAAAGAGGATTCTATTTAGATTTACTTTAAGATTTTTTTTTAAATTACAAAATAAACACAAAGCAATGTTTTTTGTGGATTTGTATAGAATTTTACGTGATAGATATCTGATTAAGTGAATTGTGAGTGATGGATATGCATGCGTAAATTGTATGAATAAGACTCGTAGATTTTTTTTTTTTAAATAACATGATAGACATTAGATATTTATAATTTTTATATATGTTTTTAATTTATAGATATTCGTGAGTTTTTTTTTTTTTTAAAATAATATGATAGACATTGGATATTTGTAATTTATATATAGATATATATTTTGTGGGTTTAGACTTTGTGAATTCTTTTAAGAAAAATAACGTGATAGACATTGAAAACATATTTGCAGGTTTATATTTTTTTATTAATTTATTTAAGTTATGTGATAGACATCTAATTTTCTTGAATTTAGGTGAACTATTTTTGATATGTAAAAAAAAGGATTTATAAAAGTCGAAGAAGATATCAACACTATTATATGAGAAGAAATAAATCAAATTTGATTAAATTGAAGAACAAATGCAAACCACAAATTAAAAAGCAAGTAAGCCCAAACTATGCAAAATGTAATAATGGAGAAGATGAAAAGATGTGTAGATGAAATCAAACTTGCAAAATATAATAATGAAAAGGATGAGTTAGTCTGAGAAAAGATAGGTAGATAAAAGAAAATAAAAATGGATAGATGAAAGAGAATGATTGAATTTGACTAAAATATGAAATAAACTTAATACAGAAATGTGTGTGTAGGGGTTATAGGAGGTATAGGTCATGGATATGAATGAATATAGATGTGGGAGTTGTGGGTGATGGATATGTAAATATGGATATAAATAAATATTTTATTATTTTATTTTTATTTTATATTTTATTACAGGGCGAGGGAGTGAAAATGCTGAATAATGGAAATATCATGGAGATCCCATCATCATCTCCAACTGATGTATCGGTGTCGCTGTTGGTTGCTAAAAGCAAGCAATCAAGTGACTCTAGAGAGTCTGTCGTTGAATCTCTGGCCTTTCCATCTTGTAACTCATTCGTCGAAATGCCAAAATCACCCATTAGAGTACCCAATGAATTCATCATCATGTAAGGCCTGTTAATTAGAGGGGAAGAAGAAGAACAGAATTGTCCAATAGCTTCATGGCGCTGTGAAAAATTCGAGCTTTTTGTTTTGTTTTATTAAATCAAAACAAAGATTTGGATATATATGTTTTTTTTAGTTCGATGGTACCTGGAATACAAAAGATAAAGAGTAAAAAATCTCAATAAGTATCATTGTTTATTGAGGATATATTATAAAAAAAAAATTAAAAATCTACTATAACAACATCCATCTATTGAGGAGTTAATGTAACTTTTTGTAAAAAAATATAACACAGTGGTTTTTAAAATAAGAAAAAGATAACATAACCAAATTATTGTTGTACATGGGGGTGGGGGACACAAAGGAAAAAGAGGATTCTATTTAGATTTACTTTAAGATTTTTTTTTTAAATTACAAATAAACACAAAGCAATGTTTTTTGTGGATTTGTATTGAATTTTACGTGATAGATATTGATTGAGTGATTGTGGGTGATGGATATGCATGCGTAAATTGTATGAATAAGACTTGTAGATTTTTTTTTTTTTTAAATAACATGATAGACATTAGATATTTATAATTTGTATATATTGTTTTTAATTTTACAGATATCTGAGTTTTTTTTTTTTTAATAATATGATAGACATTGGATATTTGTTAATTTATATATAGATATTAATTTTGTGGGTTTAGACTTTGTGATTTTTTAGAAAAAAG